TCTGCCTTCGGCTCAGGTCATGATCCCAGAGTCCTGGGATCGAGTCCCGCATCGGGCTCCCTGCTCCTTGGGAGCCTGCTTCTCCCTCTGCCTCTGCCTCTCTCTCTCTCTCTCTGACTCTCATGAATAAATAAAACATTAAAAATATATATATAAAAAAAATAATAATAATCCATACATAGAAACAAAGATGCTTATTAAATGACCAATGTTTCTGCCCAATTTAATAGAAAACTTTTCCTGAGTTTGGACACACCCCTTTGCAAAAATGGCTACTATCCTTCTATCTCGTGGCCCCACTGCTGCTGAAACTCACCATGGCAAAATTGTTGAAGACTGCATGCCTAAAACTAATAAAATGCTTGCCATTTAAGTTCTATTGCTTAATGTCCAAACTTGACTTTTCATTAATGCCAGTTTCCTTTAAGTTATATTGAAATTGTTAAATTATGTTGATACTGCTCCAAAACTTATAAGGTTTCCTCTACTCATTCCCATGTAGGCTTTGTCTGTATAAGTGACTATGTTTCATTCAAAGCCAAGTATTATATGAAATGAGTGTAGAGGCATATACCAGTACATTTAGCTTTTATATCTGTCATTTAATAGAGTACTTTCCTCTCATCCTATCACTCTCTCTTTTCTGTAGGTATTCATCCATGCTGTACCTTCCACCTTCTCTTCTCTCCCTATCACTCCTGCATTCCATTTGTTGATCATAATGGCTTGATTAGGCCAAGGGTACTACCACTACTGTCCTAGCCACAGATATTAGGGTGCGGTGGGAATATAGCTAAGGCTTAGGACATGACTCTTCTACTCAGAACAGGACATAGCTGATCAGGCCAAGTTAACAGAAGCCTCACAGCTATTTGAGAGAGATATAAGGTACATGTGGTCAACTATAGCAGGAGATAAAAGCTTAGCCTGGGAAGAGCTGAGAAGATCTACAGCAAGATATGGAAATCTAGTATCAAAAAGGTAAAATTATCACAATTCATAAACATCAGTCTCCCATTGCCCTAGTAATACAAATACTGATAAAATAAAACAATCCATAATCAGATCACAAACGAATTCTCTAGGTCAACTAAAAGAAAGATTGAAGAAAGTTAAAATAGATTATTTTACCTTATAATTTAGTTTGGGTGCATCGTAGAAATCAGCAGAGTGTGAAAACTGTTTACCTATGGTAATATTTGCATAGCTAAGGAAGGAAATTAAGTAATGGTGATTTTAGGATTCAGAAATTTTAAATTTTATTTTTTTAAGTTTAAAATAAGTGATATGAAAGTATGAAAAATATCTTACCCATATCCAGTTCCTTTCTTTCCTGGGTTTGTGTATAAATTCTTTCCAGGTGCCTCGTATTTTTCTCTGGGTCTTGACTGTGCACTGAAGAATGGCACAGGACCACCTAATGTTCCATAGTAGCTTCCTAAACCACATCTTAAATACAGTTTTTAAAAAACAAGGCAAAATAATACAGTAAATTTTGTGTTATACATATTTGATCACAATTTATAAAAAATGACTGAAAAAGGAACAAAATACATGCAATGGAATTGACTTGCCTAACTTTAGTAAGAAAAAAGCAACCAATTTTTTTAGTTCTTAATCTAATTTCCCCCATTTTCCAAAGTCACAAATTTTCAGATGAGATAATGTTTTTAATTTTTTATGCTTATTTTAAATGTACCACATAAACAAAATTTCATAATCTCTAGGCAGTGATAATAGTTTCCATTAATTCAGAAGATTGTAGTTTTACTAACCTCAAAAAAAACCCAGCACAATTAAGCACAAAATTGGCCTTCAACCAATCCTCATCCATCACAAATTCTACAGTCAACATTACAGAGTGTGCATTAACGTCATATCATAAAGCTCAGCTATATAATATAATGTAACAGACTATATGATTTTCTTTGTTTAGTGGTTTAAAGGTAAGAAAAAAAAATGAACCTTCACATTGACAACTGTCACAACTAAAATATTGTTAAACTCTATGCATGTATCTTCACAATGATTTTCAAATAACATGTCTTGATAAATTATCTTCTTTATCAAAAAAGGCTTCTCCTAATTTAATAATTTTTATGTATACTTTTTAAAAGTTTTTACAAAGCAGAAAAAAGAGTAAAGGGCACAGAATACCCAAGGCAGTTTTTTCAAGGTTTTCAAACAAATGTATTTGCATTATTTAATTAGCTTTTATTACATAAATAGAGAGCAATGACATAACCAAAAATTTAATGAGATGAGGATCTACTTAATCAAAACTACCTGTCAACTTATATCACCCAATATAACTGTCTCCACCTAAGAGAAGTTCATCCTAAAAATCATATTTTAAAAAATGAATCATACTTAAGTCCTCCAGAGAAAGACTCAATTTGGGCTAGAGGAGAGAAATGGGCAGATGTATTTATGACTTTTCCCCCCATACACTTACGGCTTTTTATCTCCACTACTAGGGAGGAAGGCTTTGCCTAGATTTTTTTTTGCTTCTTCCATCATATGCCGTCTCCTCACTTGATTCAGATTTACATAGCCTTCACCTTCAAATATCCTTACAAAATGGGGATCAAAATAACCTGCCTGGAGATTTGACATTTCTTTGGATCCCCCAGGTAGCATCTGTTTATTTTTGCTTGCAGCCTCATTAAAGGGTCCTTTAAAAATAAATTAGGAATATCATAACTTTGAGCTAATAATTAAAGAACATGAAAAATAACTGAGAAAAGTTTCAAACTGTGGGACTGGGGCCAGTGAGTTTTGAGCTCTAAAATGCTGTCTCAAAATGTTCACTGAAAGCTCTGTGTTGCAGATTATATTGACTATAAGATCTAAGAGGTTTCTACTGAATCATTTTAATAATTAGGTCCTGGTTATAGACTCTGATTTTTAGAGTGGAAGAGACCACGAAAAGCATTTAATCCAATGCTTCCCCATCTATATACTAGAAAACACTGTGTGAGATTATCAGCAAGTACGTGTGTATGGGTGTGTGTGTTGAGGTTGAAGGGAAGGGTGTTCCATACACAAACTGAGGCAATTCCCCTCTTGGATATATACTCAACACACATGAGTGTCTATACTCACTAAAAGACGTGAACAAGAATTTTCACAGCAGTTTCATTCGTAATATTCAAAAACAAGTAACTACTCAAATCTCCATCAACAGGAGAACAGATAAATAAACGTGATATATTTATACAATGAAATACTAGTAGCTCAGCAATTTTTTTAGAAGGCTGTTTTTATAAGTATTTAGAGCTTCTTTTATAATTTAGATCTAGGAGAGCTCAATTTGGGAAGTCCTTCAGCAATGTGAAAATTTTTTTGAAGTGCAAACAATCCTTAAATCAACCAGTTAGTTAAATATGAATTTGTATCACTGATTTTTTTAACTTAAATTTTTTAAAAGGTAATATATTCACATGGTTCCAAATTCAATAACATGTTTTTACAATAAATTTTCCTCCCACACTTGTACATCCAGTTCCTCTCCCACAGGAAATCATGATATTTTGTTTTCCAGAGAATGTTTAAACATGTCCCAATGAATATTTTCATATATATCCTTTTCCATCTTTGATGCTTAGCATAATATATAATAAACAATTCTGCACCTTGATTTTTTTATTTAACAATATATCTTGGAGATGTTTCATGTCAGTGTATTCTTTTTGTAACAAAGGAGTCATTGAATAGCCAAAAATTTAACTGAGACATTTAAATGTTTATTTACGTTAGCTCTTTATTATTTATGACTCTTCTAAAAATCCCTCAGCTATTCACTTAGCATTTCACTTTTCAGGAAAGTAATCATGGATGGCCTTTTGGGATGCAAATGTAAATGCTGCTTGCATAACAGAGTGTCCCATCTGAGAAACCATAAGCTAAAAACAAAATATTCTGAGAGAAAACTGCCATGCACCTTTGGAAAGAAGTAAAATTACCTATGACAGAGAATACACAAAGGAAGGGTATCCCAGTGAAAGGAGCTTCCAGCTCTTATAAAATTAAGTTGTCTCTTAACTCTATCGAAATTTCATAAGTTTATTCAACTTTAAACTTAATGCTCTAAAATATAGAGCATTAGGGCGCCTGGGTGGCTCAGATGGTTAAGCGTCTGCCTTCGGCTCAGGTCATGATCCCAGAGTCCTGGGATCGAGTCCCGCATCGGGCTCCCTGCTCCTTGGGAGCCTGCTTCTCCCTCTGTTTCTCTCTCTCTCTCTCTCTGTCTATCATGAATAAATAAATAAAATCTTTAAAAAAAATAAAATTAAAAAAAAATAAAATATAGAGCATTAAAATATACCACTTAACCTAAATATTAAATCCAAAATTTCATATAGAAAATATCCACTATTAAGCTGTAAAGAAAACCAGATATACTTACGATTAAATGATGACACATATTTATCACCAACAGTAATATATTCCATCTCACTGAACAGGCCAATCCTCTCCATATCAGTTTTCCCTCCTTCCATAGGCATGGTTGCTTCTTGTGGTGGTATTCTCTATATCGACAACTTCAAAGGGTTCTTTATGGCTATTTCTTTTATAGCAAAATCCTACTTTACATTGAAAAATACAGGAAAAAAAATTTTAGGAAAAAGGCAATTATTAAATTTCAGTCCAAATAATTTTCAGCCTGAGAATTAGCATTCACTATAAAACAATGGTCCCACACTATGTGGGGAAATAATCTACTTTGTGGGGCTGAAGGGGAAAACAGCATTCAAAATTATCACCATGAACCCTCCCCTGGATTCTCTGGGTGAAGTATCCACAAATTCCAAAGACATGTGTATGACAGCATCTGTCTCATTGCCATTCATCTGTTGTAAATGATAAAATTGTTACTGTATAGTATAAATACTGTGTAAACAGCACCTTTCTTTTGAGAAGTTCAAAGTAGATTTAAAAATCATAATTACATAAGGCGGGGGGCACTCTCAGTTTAGATCAAATGATTTAAACATACTGCTTTGTCTCTCATGTTGGAAATTAACAGTTTTTCAGAATGCACAACACATATAGTCATTATGTGTTATCCTATGTTCTTGAGTTTTCTCAAGTTTAAATGAAAACAAGAAATGTGTCACTGGCAAAATTAGTTCACAAAGGGGATGGATGGGAAAGGACAATTGTCTAGGCAAGATAAAAATTAAGAACAACAAACGATAATGCACAAAGAATTAAGGGTACTTGTTAAAGGCTAAACTGCAATTGTGAATCTTCTTTTGAAATATCACATTAAACATTCAAGTATTTATTTAATTTTTTTTAATTAGGCATGTTCTGGAAAGGAAGACCAAAGAGCTAAGGAATATTTGCCTCGACGTCATCATTATATATACATATATATATTTTTTTAAATAGGCTCCACACCCAGCGTGGAGCCCCAAGGGGGTTGGGGGGGCCTTGAACGCACCACCCTGGGATCGAGACCTGAGCTGAGATCAAGAGTGGGTCACTTAACGGACTGAGCCACCCAGGCGCCCCAATAATATTTTTTAAGTACCAACTAGATCTAGGCACTGGGCATACATTACTGAATAAAACAAACACTGGCTTATACTTCCCAATTATAATCCAAGGTAAGAAACTTTTGCCTTGAATTTCAGTGACACTAAACACACTTGCCTGTTTGGAACTGTGGCTCCTCTGAGCATCAACACTGCTAACGGGTAATATCAAAGACGCAAGTGAAGACTCCGTTAAAATAAAGCGTAAGAAGATACGCTTCCATTTCCCCCCATTCCACCTCTTCCTCTGATCAGGTCTGTTTTAAAAGCAAACGTCCGTCAGTTGGGACGTGCTACTTTCATTTGTGGGGTGTTTCAAAGCTCCATCCCACTGCCCGACCACAAGGGCTTCCTGTGCTGTTACAGGGGCTCAAACCCTTTAAATGGCTCACAAGGTCCGCTATCACCCACATTTGTCACCATGCGAACCCCACGCCCTGGCCCCTGGGCTCCATTTGTCTTCTTTCAGTTCTCCGATGAGACTCGCTCCAGCCCAGGACCATGGCACCCGCTGTTTCACTTCATGCAAGTACTTCACCGTGCTGACTCCTTTAGCTCCCCCAGTTAACACTGATGCTTCGGATCGTGTAGCTCATTGATCACTTCTTTAATTACCTCATACCTTGTACTACTTTTTCCAAGCCCTCGCCATGGTTTATCTAATGGGTTATCAGTTCACATACAACGTGCGGGAATCCTTTAATTAACAGCTGTTTTCCCCACTCAACCGTTGGCTCCACGAAGGCAGGAACCGGGGTGAGTTTGACTCTACCCTACCACCGCGTTTCCAGTGCCTGCGCACACCTGGCACACAACAAAGCGAGCCACAGACGGGAGGAGGAAAGGAAAGAAGCTCCCGCCTTGAAATTGTCCACTATTTAACTCTTCTTGAGCAACATTTACAGAATCGTTCATTCATTTAACAAACACTTTGCAACCCCCCCCCCCCGGGTGAGGCTCGCCGACAGAAGCTAGGCAAACATTGCAAAGGGCATGGCTCCTGGCCCCAGGGAGCTTCCAGTCTAAGCGGGCGAGTACGTAATTCAGTGTAGCACAAGTGAATTTGGTAAGGTCCCTCACGCTTAAAGCGCTGAAGGGAGGGGGCGCTGAAGGAGGGGAGGAAAACGTCTGGCTGAGGCGACAGGAAAAAGATTTCCCATTAAGGAAACAGGCGCGGAGCAGGTAGGGAGTAGGTAGGTATCTAAAGGCCAACACCCTGCGGCCCCGAGGACCAAGTCACCTGTCAGAAGGACACCCAGTCCGACAGCCGGGACCAGGTCGTCTGAGGTCGGGTCCGGGTTAACTCAGCGGCAGGAGCGACAGGTGCTGCGAGCCACCTCGCGCAAGCGCTTCCCGCGCGAGGCCTCGCTGCGAAGCGCCTCCGCACGCTCCACGCACTGCGGGGATTGACTGTGGCCGCAGGTGTTTATTGTGACGCGTTGCCTCGGGTACGGGAGAACTCGTTTCAAAGTACGCTACGGAAGGACATGTGGAGAGTTCGAAGCCGCATCGAGGAACATACATAAAGACTTAAAGAGTGTGGGTAGAATGCGAAGGATTCAACCAATAGAATTTACTGAGAAAAGACTTCTGCTACCCGCCCCATTATCCATCCGCGAGGAGCTGTGGAAAGATACGCCCCATACCGTTGCTGCGGGGCATGTTGGGAGTTGTAGTCAGCCTTCCCAGGCTCCGCCCCTGGAAACTCCACTTCCGGGCCAGCGTGCTGAGCCCTTGCGCGGACGTCAGCGCCCCTGTCATAGCCACGTAGCAGACCTGGTGAGTACCTCCGCTGGCAATCGACCCCTGCGTTTCCCCTCGGACTTTCGTAGCCGTCGTGGGTCCAAGCCCTTGAAAGGAGCTGGCATTACCGGGGCCCACAGTGGCAGCTGCGAACTCGGTGGTTTGGGCCGCCTTTCTCTCGGTCTCTCCGTGGTAGGGCCGGAGGGAAACTGCCCCGCACAGCCTAGACTATCGCGGTTCAGCCGCGGTGGGACCTGCGCTCTCCGCGCCTCCTCCTTATGAATGCATTTTGTGAACGAGGGATTATTTGGCGTCTTTGAAGATTTGAAGTATTGGACCTGGGAAAGATATGAGTGACTTCCTTCAAATACTCTATTCCCTTAGCTCCGGTGATGTCGCACTCCCCCGGTTTCCCTCCTGATTGCTCAGCGAGGTCCTCCAAGCCCTATCCTAGATGTAGTGTTCTTCAAGGATGCTTTTCTTTACACCCTGTGCCTCCTCCCAAATTTGTATCTCCAGATTTGGCAATTGTATTCCGAGCTCTAGATCTATATCTACCTTCACTTGGATAATTGATCCGTATTTCAAACTCAGCAAGTTCAAAACTGACTCCTTATTTCCACCTCCCCTCATCCCACACCCGCTCTTCGTCCAATGATCCGCATTTCAGTAAATCCACCCTGTTGTGCATGCCAAAAACCTGGAAATCATTCTTGACATCTTCCACTTCTCAACTTCTGAACATCTGATCAGTAATCAGATCCTATGCATTCTATTTCTACATGGCTGTCAATTGTCATTTACTCTACTCCTACCTTCCCTGTCTTTGTCGCCATCAGATCTCAACATCTGTGGTAGTCTCTTAAGTGTTCTTTCAAGCTGATCTTCACCAATCTGTGCCCCTGCCTGGAATGGGTTCTCCCACCTCCACCCGCCTCTTTCCTTTGCAATTGTTAATGCTCATACCTACTTACCCTTCACATCTCAGCTTAAATATTATTTCTTCAGAGAGGATCTCAGTTCAGAAGCCTAGGGAGGTTGTAGTCCTTTCACTTAAGATGTTTTGTGGAATCATCCCAACAACCCTATGAAATAGTAGATTTTGCCAATTTTACAGAAGAGGGCAAAAGTACTGAGCGATTAGTTACATTGTGCAAAATCATACAGAGTTAAAGTGCTCTTGCCTTTTTAACTTTTGTCTTCTTCAGTATTTTTCATTGTCATTAAATAGTTTTTGTCCAAATGGCAACTGTAGAACTCTTCATAGTGCAAATTGTTCAAATGATTGCCTAATATTTGTATGGTAGTATTGTTCTTTAACTGACTTCTTATTAATAACTATTTAGGTAGTTTCCAGGTTTTTTTTATTAAAGTTAAATTTTTACTGAACTTTATTTCATTAGAACAAATTTCCAGAAGTAGAATTGAGTCTCACTTGTATGAGGATGAATTTGTTTTGTTTTACAATGGAATTTTGGTTCTCTGTCTTAGGTGATTTCAGAGACTATGGATATACTCTTCAGAATAAGAGGAGGCCTTGATCTAGCTTTTCAGCTAGCTACTGCTAATGGTAGGTCTGACCAAAAAAACTCTCCTTTTTTATTATAAAATTGATGGTGAAATATACTGGGATCCTCTTCATTTTGCAAATGAAACTGAGTGAGGATAAACTCAAATCATGTGGTTAGTGGGTTCTGTAAATTGGATTTAAACAGGCACTGTGTTCCAGCACCACTGCTAGCCTGTGAGGCTTCTCTGTGCAAATTAGAAAAAGATATCCCCTTTCTTAAAAAAACTTCACTGGGGCGCCTGGGTGGCTCAGTTGGTTAAGCGACTGCCTTCGGCTCAGGTCATGATCCTGGAGTCCTGGGATCGAGTCCCGCATCAGGCTCCCTGCTCAGCAGGGAGTCTGCTTCTCCCTCTGACCCTCCTCCCTCTCATGCTCTCTGTCTCTCATTCTCTCTCTCGCAAATAAAT